ATTCTATTCATTTTTCTATTCTTTCTACAAATTAGTATATGTTATCATATTCATTCTAATCGGGGAGCAAGGACTTTCAGTTGATGAACAAGTAATTCCCATAAATTATGAAGAACAACAAGAAAAGTTTGAATTTTCTAAATACGATACACTTGACAAAGTAAATTTGAAGATTATTGATATTAGTAACATCAATGATTGTGAGCTTTTTGTTATTTATAAAGTATCTCATTTTTCATAATGTGTTCTGTAAACATTTAAAGGTCAATTATGAAATTGTTTCTTGTAAGGTGGTTATTCATATGCCAACCTTGGTTCTGACACACTTTACAACGACGGATTGTCAATTGGTGAAAGTAGTAAATCTAATAAAGGTGATTCTTTTTTATATTTAATGTACCCAATACCAATAGAATTTAACTCTATATATTTTACTTTTAGTGCTTTTGTAAGAAGAATTTGAAGATGCAGAAATCGAGAACTATTTATTTGATGAGGATGATATAGAATAGAATATCGATGTACTACATGGTAACATAGCTTTTAACCCAATAAATTGACTCTATACATATTTATGATTTATTATCTTCAGAATAATTAACTGTTGATCATGATTACGTATCACCTGGTGGCTCACTGTGTTGGACTACCGAAGTATCTAATCATATTAAGCCAAAGATCAAATCAGTATATGAGTCATATGTTGATGCTGTTACAATGTATAGAAACTGTGCATTAGAAGCTGGATTTGATGTGAGACTTGGGACTCTTAGAACATCAACGTTGTGTATTATTTCGGAAAGACATTTATTATGCAACCGTGAAAGCAAGCTCAACATTGGTAAATTTGATACTTTGGACATTCAACACAATGATTCTAAAAGAAGAAAATTTTCATTCAGGGTGGATTGCAAAGCAAAGATTGTTTTAACGATAATACCTGGCAATGAAAAGTATGTGGTTCATGATTTTACCGAGAAACATTCTCACGCTTTGTTTAGTAAGGAAACGATTCACTTATTACATGCCAAGAGAAAACTTGATTACGTACAGGAAAGTTTCATTCACAACATGTCCAAGAAAAGCATTGGTGTAACAAAAGTACATAGATTTTATACTGGCATAACCGTTGTCATTCTAATCGAGGATTTGTTTCTGACTTCAAAAATAGTACGAGAAATCTTAGTTGTTTCATAGGTGGGATGGATTCTAAATTTCTTGTTGACAATATGAACGAAAAGGAAAAAATATGTCCAAAACTTTACTTTTGAGTATAGAGTTGTGGATAAGAAGCTAAATACACTTTTTTAGGCGGACGAGACAACTAAGTTTAACTATAATGCTTTTTGGGATGTTAATACCACGTTCAACACAAATAGGTAAGTTTTTATTATTTTTTCTTAATTTATCTTTACTAAAACATGTAGTTAATTTTCATTTATATAACACATATTTTCTATATAGCTATAACATGGTTTTTGTTCCACTCGCTGGTATAGATAACCATAAAAAAATGTGTAACATTTGGTGCTGGTATGTTGAGTAAAGAAGACTATGACTCTTATTCTTGGCTCTTTATGGCTTTCTTGAAGACATTTACAAAACCACCTACATTGATACTATCATATCAGGATCCAACATTGCCCAAAGCTATTAAAGAACTTATTCCAACGACACAATACAGACTTTGCATGTGGCATATAACTTAAAAGTTACCAAAAAAGGTACAATTTAATTCTCATTCTCGTATAATAATTATATAGCCATACCAATTACATCAGAATCATACCAGTTCATAAAGACTTGGCATTCTTCCATCACAATAAAATTTGAATACACACTATATCTAGCATATCATTACCTCTCAAACAAATTCTTATTGATACTAACATATCCATGTATTTAAACTAGATATCAATTGAAATTTCTACCAATCCAGAGTTCTGTAATCGTTTCCATGGTTTAATATGGAATTCTAAAATTGAACCATGAGCATTTAAGGTTGGTTGGGAATGTTTGTTGAGGTATTTCAATATTACAAATAACAAGTGGTTGAATGCTATGTACGGGTTGCGTAGATTATGGATCCTAACATTTTTCAAGGACATACCAATGTTTGGTCTTATGCGAACTACATCATTGTCTGAAAGCCAAAATTGGTCATTTCAAAACAATACACTTTCTGGTTTGTATCTTGTCATTTTTTTAATGTCTTTTGAGACTAATTTGGAACGACAAAAACATAATCAAATTTTCAATGATTTTAAGACTTCCAACACTTTTCCTAAAATAATCAAACATCTTCCGTACGAGGTTCATGCATCGAAAGTGTACACCCGTACCTTTTTTTACCAAGTTCAGGTAGAGATTTTAAAATCTGAGGAAACCTGTTTCCAAAAGTGTGTGTCATCTGAAGATGGTGTTGACACAATTACTATATTAGAGAAAAAAAACATTATCACTAGGAAAACTCAAAAGGAAATAGGAGATGAAACAGTGTAGGAATATCATTACGATAGAATTCTCGAGGATACTGAATTCAAGGTGCGTATACTTTATTAATTTATAGTATTTCATTACATTGAAGTGAAATTGAATAACATCATCTCATTTTTAATATTGCATTTTTTACAGGTTACACATTCAACAGTAGAAGATACCTTCATGTGCAATTGCATGAATTTCGAACATGTTGGCCTTTTGTGTAGACACATTTTTTTGTGTTTTTAAATATTACGGTTGTGTTGAAATTCCATCACAGTACATATTGAAACGTTGGAGAAGGAACGTTATTCCAACAGAATTACTTAACAGGCGATTATCAGACTCTGGATATGACTTACATACCGACAAGTATGCCATTGAAATTTTTTCAATTGTTGATAATTGTGTATCAAACTTGAGTCATGATCTAGAAAAGTTACAAGCATATCTCGATGATCAACATAAGTTGAAAAAAAAAAGTATATAGATGATTGCCCATCAAATGAACTTCCCACCAGAGACACTTACTATAATAACCTTCTAAAAGTCACTATTCCTGATTTGGTGGACATTAAGAATCCATCATATATTTGGAACAAAGGTTCTGGTAGTAGAGGGAAAATATTGAAATCTAAGAAAGAAGTGCTTCAACTTCAAGGATTGATACCCAAGAGATTGTGTGCATCATGTCTACAGATGGTTAATCATGACAAGCGAAATTGTCCTCTTCAGAATAAAGATAACTAGTTTGCAATGTGTTTATTTTATTTTTAGTTTCTTGTTTTATTGCTTAATAGACTATTGTTTAAAATTTTCTTTTACCTTTAACATAACACTAATTATTTCATATTTTAAATGTTTTTTTTTCATTTTACATTCCTTTAGAATTATGTATACTATTTCAGTTAAAAAAACAATTTACTATCATTCTAATATAATACAATTTTAGACTTAATATTACATATATATGGTAATATAGTGTTTGCACCAAAGATTGATTTCTACTATAAACTAGCAAAGACTGATGACTATATTAAATACCAAATTTAATGTAATTCGATTTTAGATCATTCTAATAGAAAACAAAAGTACACTTTATATTAAATACCAAGTTAACATCATTCGTTTTTTCATCATTCTATTAGAATACACATAATATATATTTCGATACACCAAAAGTTGATGCCTACTCCAAACTACCAAACTTTGATGCCTACTACAACAAAGCCAAATGCCTACTATAACGAGAGTTAAAAACAAATTACAATTTACATTCTAATATTGACATAACATCATTCTAACAGAATACACAAATTACACATTTCATTCTACCGAAGTCACTAAATTCTTTACATATTCTAGTAGAATATGTACAATCACCACATCATATCAACCAATAACATCATTTAAATAGAAAACAACAATTATCAAACATCCATCATTCTAATAGAATACACCTACTATATTTTTCGAACCACCAAAAGCTAATGCCTACTACAAACTACCAAATTCTGATGCCTAATACCAAATTCTAATGCCTACTATAAAGAGAGTTACAAAGAACTTATACTTTACATTATAATATCGACTTAACAACATCCTAATATAATACACAAATGATAATTTAAAATTTCCAAAGTTATTACATTCTTATCATATTCTAATAGAATATATACATTCAGCACATCTTATCTACCAGAACATTATCAACCATCCATTCTACATTTTTGGAAACACTTGTTATTTGTTTACTCTACCATAAATACAACATACAAACATAAAAGATCAATAAATTTCTAAAGACTTGAATAGTGTAAGTGTTAACCACATATTATGTTTAAAAACTACCATCCATATTCATCTAGAAAACACATGTTTTTTTAATTCAAAATAAATCCTACTTAATAACAAACCCTTCAACAGTTGAAAAAAATAGAAAAAAAAAACAAATTCATAACACTTCATTTGAGTTCTTAATACCAAAAAATAAGAAAGCTAATGAAACTGAACTACAAAGTTAACGTCGACGTCTTCCTCTTGTTTTCTTCCTTTCTATTGCTGATTCTTGTAGAAGTAACTCTCTTTCAAGTACATCAAGCTTTGAGAATTGAGCACAATCCATCTCTAGCATTGTTTTATGCATATTGAAACCGGATTTCATCATTCTAGCCAAATACATGGTCCTTAAATTCATAACTGCAACTGTATTTGCATTTCCTTTTCCTCTAAATCCAGAATCTGATCGCCCTTATCCTTCTCCCATATAACTTTCCATGTATCTCATAAGATATAATCTGCAATTTGGTCTCGGTTTCGCTACGCACCAACGAATGTTCATCACATGTGGTTCGACTGCACTTAAAGGTTTTAATATTGAATGATGTTGTACTGATAAGTAGTTGTACAAAATTTTCAACTGTCATAATAAAATAAGCATTTAAGATAAAATTATATATATATATATATATATATATATATATATATATTCAGTGATAGAATGATTATAAATGGTTATATTATTGTACTATTAACAAAATCATAGGTGTTGTTCCATATACACTGTCAATGCTTCCTTTTCGATTCACATGATCAATTATGAAGCACTTTCCTATCACCAGATCAAAACACACCTCGTAATACATAGCAACATCCACTACTGGGATGAAAACCTATGAAAAACACAAGAAAACTTAATATTAAATTATCAAGAATGTGTAAAAAAAATTAATTACAAATGAACTAACCAACCCAACATCTTTCAAAATTGGTAACACTTTAAACATATTAATGTAAACTCTTAAAAATCCATCAAATAATCTGTGTGTTTCTATTCCTAAACCCGATTTATGCAACATTTCACTTGTCTATAATAATAAGAAAAACACAAATTTTAGTATTAAACTTAATTATTTACATTGAAATTTACAAAATATAATGTACATTCCATACTAGAAATTTTGTGTCCAAGAACAATCTAGCTATCGATCCTTTGTCCCTCCACTCATCGATCTTATTAAGGAATGCTGCCCAACAATCTATTATTCTAGAATGGATATACACATCCCTCTTAAAATGGTACACAAATCCTTGGTGCAAAACTTCACCAACTCCAATATCCCAAATCGGGTCCCTGAAAATAACATAAAATAAAATAAAATAAAATAAAATTAATAACATCATATAATATATTACAATTACTGAGTATATAATATATTTTACACTAACACATTATTTCTTTTAAATGAAAATATTGAAGTGCACATTTCAATATCCCCCTTCTTCAATTTATCACGAACTCTAATCACCCATTCAATAAAAGGGGAATGAAATAAATTTGTAGATTTATTGTCCCTTTTTCCCCTTTTACCATTATCATCTTCATTGGCAACATTGTTCAGCTCCTCATCTAGATTTCTTTCTTCATTCGAATTAAGTCCTACCACAACAGTTGGATTTTTTCTTCAGCTACATGTTTACTATTTGAAAAATGATCTCTGTTTTACTTGCCATATCTATCATTTCTTCCATCACACCAGGTAACTTATAAAATTGATTCCTTGTAAGAACATCTTGTGTCAATTCGTTTTCCATACGTGGTTCCACATAACTAGATCCTTCATCTATATTTGTGCTCTTACATACCAAACCTCTAATAGGTGACAAATGGCCATGATATTCAACAACTTCTTTTCCAAGGTATGGAATCTCATTTTCATTATCATTCTCCTTAACAAAATCGTTCTCATTAAATAACTCATTCTTCTTAATTAACCACACTTTCATTACTTTACTGTCAGGAAAATTTTCCAAACCATGTTTTAATGCAACTTCCATGTTACTCTTCTCTGATAGCAATTTACCATAACTGTGCTCCAATACCGCATCAAATGCCTGCTATATAACTACATTATTATACTTATTCTAAATAAGGAAAGTACTTAACAACAATTCTTTAAGAATAAATTACCTTCTAATTACGAAATATGGTGTATAATCACTAATCATGTAATGCTCTGTTCCGAATTGACTCCTAGTCTGAGGCGGTGGCTCGAATGTCGGTCATTATAAGGATTATGGCTCTTGGGAAGGTAAGATCTAACCCCTTTTGGGTGCGGGTGATGTATTAGAAGTTATCTGGGTGTTCGATTCGTGTTTTGGAGCATAGGGGTATTTCGGTAAAATGGTAGTTCGGGTTTTTGTGGAAAATGGACTTTTTTCGGAGGGTATTTAGGAAGATATGAGTTTATAGAAGTGTAGCTCTTCTCATTACCTTTCTGTGGATATAAAAATCGTCGGAAACGGATTTATAACGAAAAAGTTATGGCCTTCAGAAGTTTAGTGGTTTCAAGCTTAGCTGAGTACGCTGGGCATACACAACGAGTACGTTGGGCATACTAGTAAAGAAGTCAGTACATTGGGCATACTTTTGGAGTACACTGGGCGTACTGACCAGGATGGTCTCAAATGTTCTTCAGAGTATGTTAGGCGTACCATATGAACGTTGGGCGTACGCCAATCAAACATAAACCCTATTTTAGGGTCTTGGACCCTATTTAAACTCCTTATCTCATAACCTAACCCTAATATCTTCAGCCTCCACCCCTCTAAACCCTAGAAATCGTCATATGTCATCAATGGTGGCATTTTGAGCTTATGGAGTCCGTTTTTGGGTGTTTGACCCATTTTCAAAAAGATGAAGTTTGATGCAAAGATAGGAATTAAGGAGGAGCTTATGGATCTGGCTTTTGGGAGTCATTCTCAGCTTGATGAATGTATAAAGCTTTGAACTTGGCCATTGAATGCTTAGATCTATTATGTTGATTTTTGGACCTTTTAATCCCAAAAATGGAGCTTTATGGTTCCAAATCCGTTTTTAGGCTTGGGGTTGCCACCCTTGATGCTATTTGAATCCCTAAGATAGATAACTGCCATATTGATGGTCTTAATGGGTTCATGCATGAGTTAGGGTCACTTTTATGAAAGTATAATGCCATTTGTGGAGTTTGGGCTTGTTTGGGGCATGCAAAGTCACCAAGTTAGTGACTTTATGGGTTTAGACGTTAAGTATAGCTCAAATCTGTGATTTGGACTTGTTGGATCAAGTAGCACTTAATGGATATTGTGCATAAGCCGTTTGTAAGTTGGGCGTACAATGTTGTACGCTGCGCGTACAACCCTTTTTCCAGTATACTAAGCCTATAGAAGAGGTACGATGGGCGTACGCTCTCAGGAGGACTTGGGCCTTAGTGAACTTCAAACCTTTGGACCCTAATGGTTTTAAGCCTAGACATGCGGTTTGTTGGATCTGAATGTATCTTGGGCTAATGTTGGTATAGTTGGGTCTATTGGGCTTTATGGCCCAATATAGAAATGGACTTTACATTTTTGGGCCTGGGATTGGGCCAATTCTTGGACTAGGTTGTTATGGGCCTTTGTGGCCATTTGGGTCAGGATTATTGACTAAGGAGAATATTAGGTTTTAGTATAAGGTCCACTAGAAAGGTCTGGGCCCAATTTTAAAATTTGGCCATAGATGGTTTATGGACATTATAAAGTTGGGATTTTGTTTTGGGTTTGGGCCTTAGTTTTGGATCGTATTAGGGCAGGGGTAAAATGGTCATTTTACCCCATGCATGGATTAAGGATTATGGTATGGGACCCAAATGCTAATTTGGTATATTGATTGGTAGTGATAGCTTGGGAGGCTGGTGGGGCAGCAGGTAAGGAATTCTTCAGGAAGCTTCTGTATTCAAGGTAAGTATTCTCACCATACCCATAGGTCTAAGGCACTAAGGCCAGCCAATTATGTTATTAGGGTATATGTGTTAGACATTCTGTGATATGATATGCTATGTGATTGTATGTTATTGCATGGAAGACCCCCGGGGGGGGGGGGGGCATGGCATTAGATGTAAGACCATGTGGGGTAGCCCATGGCATTCCTAGGTAAAGACCATGTGGGGTAGCCCATGGCATAATGGTGTAAGACCCTGGGGGAGCCCACGACATCCTTACAGGTTTATTTGTGTTATGTGTAGATATTTATGTGATATATGATATGTTTATGTGATATATGTTATGCTAGTTGTCTTTGTGATACTTATTTGGAAGATCCCGGGGGGAGCCCATGGCAATTAGATATAAGGCCATGTAGGGTAGGCCATGACATTCTCAGGTTAAGACCATGTGGGGTAGCCCATGACACAATGGTGTAAGACACTGGGGGGAGTCCAAGATATCCTTACAGGTTTTTGATATGCATGGCTTATGTGTTATATGTAGCTTTTATAGCTAGTAGGAAATATGATACAGGTAGCTTTTATAGCAATAGGATATGTGATATGTGGTTTATGTGTATGGTATTCTCTGGGAAACTCACTAAGCTTCGTGCTTACAGGTTTTGTTTATGGTTTCAGATATCATCAGAAAGGAAGGGCTCGGATTGACCGCAGTGCACACACCTATGATTTCTGGAATAAATGATTTTGGGATGAACTCTGATAAATGTTTTACTTAATGATGATTTCAATTGTTTAGTATAAATGGTATCAATGTTTTAGCTATATTAAAAATGAAAATTTTACCTTGGATTTTTGGGTCGTTACAAATCAATACAAATTAACACTAACAAAAAAAAGTTTTAACACCAGACCCAAAAAAAAAAAAAAAAAAAAAAAAAAAAAAAAAAAAAAACCTTGAATTCAAGACAATATTAACTCTACCTCAATGTCCTGATAAAGTTCGCATTCTTCCTCCATTTCTTCACCCCCCCCCCCCCCCATTCTCTCATCATCTAAGTTACTATCTCTGAATTACCTCCCAACTTAATTTCCATTTATTGTATTTTTATCAGATTATCACCCTTAGCATGTGCAATAAATGGTATCCTTTTATCCAACTTTATATTTTCATACCTCATGTTATACACATATGATAGATAAAATGGATACATAAACAAATCATTAAATAAAACTCTAAATAAATTATTTATATTCAAATAATCACATTTAAATCTAAAATAATCAATCCCTTACCAATAACAAAGTAATAGGGCCCGAGTAGTAGCATGTTTTGTCATCCCTTCTCCACATATCCTTTTTAGTTCGTAGGTTGACCAACATGTACTTACACCAACCAATCTTGGAAAACTCCTTTTACTAGAACTAACTTCTCAACCACTTTGATATTATTGGTACCACCAACCATTGACTCTATGAAGGTGTTAATGAACATAATAAGAAAGTTCAACCTGATTACCATATTGTCTTCTTCTTTATTTCTTATATGTTTCACGTATGCTTCCCCATGAAACTTCTTGCCTACATATTGTGCTTTTCATTCTTCCAGAATATCATTACCGGTTTCATAGTAAAGCATTCTACTCAAATCATCTGCTTCCATTGGTAAACCCATTATCTTATGCACTAGCTCTTTTGTTATTTCAATCACTCCATTCTCCATCACAAGTCTATTGGTTTCTGGACTGTATACATCTAGAAGATAATAGTTTAGCAATCCTGGTACAACTTCCATATCTAAATTTAAAAATGAACCAAATCCCATATCATAAACTGCTTTTTTTTTTTTGCTGCTGACAACACTTTAACGACTGCATTAATCCTACTTGGTGTCATTCTTGTAGGAAGCCTTCTTAAACCTGGTGCATATTCTATTTCAATTTTTATTATCTTCTCATTTACCTTGCTTACCTTCTTAATATATTCTTTTTTTTTCATCCCCTCTACCCCAACTTGTTTATGTTTTCCTTTACATTATCTTTTTCCCTCTTGTTCTACCTTTTTCCCTTCTAACAGAACATGCACCTTCTCAACTTTTGTCTTTGACCTAAGTCCTTTCATCTATTAAAACATTTAATGGACAATGTTTTTTCTTCTCTAGGGTTGATCTTGATGAGTGCTGATATTTCTTCTTTTTCACACTTGTACTTGGAATTACTGTTGTTTTTGCAATCACTACATGACAAACAACATCTTCAAATCATTACATTAACATGATAAAATAATATTCACTTGCCATTCTAATAATATTCTTAATTAAGATATCATACTTGGAAAACACAACATTGTAACGATGTTGGAAACTAATAAACCGAAAAAAATTCTACAACATTAACCTTTAGTCAATAAATAGTTCACAAAAACACATCAATACAAACATAACAAAAAATTTCATTAACAAAAAATATACAATTCTCAAGGAATTGAAGAACCAAACAACTTCCTATACCCAAGATTTCTGAATGAAACAATCATGTTTGTAGAACAAAGCATATAACTTCTACAAGAATAATTTAAATTGTGTTAGAAGTTAAATAGATATCATGATTAGAAAGAGATACAATCAATTTCAATTACACTAACATTATGAATAAACATATCATAATATTGAAACTACAATAGTAGTCTACGTTGATACCAAAACAAAACCCACAATAAATGTAACAGACTAAACTATATTCCATTCCAATTTTATTGAATCCAGAAGAATAATATTCCAAGATATGTTTGAAATACCAAAAAAAAAATAACAAAAAACAAGACAACAAACCGAACCAACTACTTTGTCACCGAAAACCCTTATGAAAAACCCTCAAATTTTCATAATTTTTTTTTCATAAAACTCTCATTTTGTTGACAATATGCTTAATACTTGGAGTTGGAGAAATGAAATCGTCATCATCGTCTAGATTTAAAGCCGTTTTTGCTGTGTTCATGAACTTAGACTTGAATGAAGTCGACCTTGTTCCTCGCATTCTTCAAGAAACTGTATCACAAGCAAACACTATTGATCGTTTTCCAAATTCAACTTTCATATAAAAAACGATTTTCAAATGTAATACTTTCTACTAAATTGCTTATTCTTTCTCGATTCTAAACAATCATAAGAAACTTTGTGTTGTGATAAAGACAAAGGTAGCTTGTGTTTCGGTTAATTTGGGGATTTTCATAATCTGTTACAAAAAAAGATATATATTTCCTAATTAGGTGGAATGGTATCCATTCTTATTTAATAAATTGTTTTAAATTATTACTATTTTTAATAAAAACAATTACTTTAAATTAGAAAAAGCACTTCGACCACAAATTAGCCTTACATCCACACAATACTTAAAATCCACATTATAACCTAAGCCTATATATATGTATATATATATATATATATATATATATATATATATATATATATATATATATATATATATATATATATATATATATATATAGGCTTAGGTTATAATGTGTGTGTGTGTGTTGGTCGGTGTGACTTGTTAGAGTGTGGCGTAGGATACATAGATAATAGATAAAAGAAATAATATTTGTAGTTGTTGTCAGCAGGAGTCAGATTTTGCTTTTTATCGCCAGCCGCATTGGAGATTGAAAGAGGCCGGATGGTTTCTTTGAGTTGCAAGGAAAATAGAGAAGAGAATAGACGGTGATTGTAGGATTATGGAGCTTGTTATGCCTTTCAAAGTTTTTTCTAAGATTTATAGAAATGGTCATTTCAATTATTGAAAAGTCAAAAGATATAAAATACAAAAAGGAGCGGTATAAAAGTCATTTTTAAGTAATTGAACCGAGGCATATGAACAATAACCGAGGGAGTGACCATATATGATGAAATTGCTAACAATAAAGATCTATGAATGGAGTACATCAAAAACAAAGATCTTATTAATAATCATTATTTAAACTGGATACATCCTTGAAAGAATTACATAAAATAACTCACATTCTTGAAAGAATTGCATAAAAGTTTGATACAACTTTGAAAGAATTACATCAAAAGGTGACACGTGCGTGAAAGAAATAGATAAAAACAAACACATTCTTGAGATATTGCATTCTTGAAGAATAACATAAGAAGAAGATGATGAGTTGGTGGATGGTCGTTTTCCATTAGAACATCATCAACATCAGTCTTCATGCCACCATCTAATCATCAGATTGACAACCTGCAACACAACCCATTTTACCACTAATCAAAAAGTGACACTTTCTTGAAAGAAATACATAAAAACAAACACGTTCTAGTTGTATCAACCACCCAATGATCTTAACAATGTTCTCGATGTATATAGCTTTAACGGTAGTTTTATAATAATTAATTTTGTATACATGATTATGACTTCCGAATGTAGAATTACTTGACAATATGAAGTATATAACTTATATTCGTTAGCACTTGTTATCAAGTTTAATATGCCTTTAAAAAAACTTTAAGAAATCATACAGAATCCACACCATATAATGAAAGTCGAAGCATAAGCCTATAAATCGCATTAACAATAGTCTAAGGCTTTTTTTGAATAAATATGTAATCAGTTACAAAAGGTCAATTCTAACCTTTAATAGTCAAAATTGGTATCCCGCCGATATAATGAAGAAAAAATAGATCTAAAACAATTTATAAAACAAGGATTTGAAAAAAAAAAAAAAAACAAAACAAAACAAAACCCGCCTAATCACCAAACATAACAAATGAATGAATAACCCATAAATATCATGTTTTTGCTTTGTGCATGTTCTTTCAACACCCCGTCTTGATCAGAACTCAATTTCCCTTCTATCAAAATCAGAAAAAATGGAAAGAATGACATACCGACAGAAGAGAAAGGCTGGGGGATCAATCGAAACGGATAAGTATCAAATAATGATGAAAATGATGGCTCGACGACGACGTATTATGGTGGCTCTGCTGCTGGTTCTGATAAAGAAACCCTAGAAGTACCGGCTGTATACAATTATACATAGAGCATAGAGACGGAATGAAATAATTTTGGGGATAATTAATTTGTTACCTAATTTATGGATTAATTTGAAATAAAATTAATTAATTATTATGCTAATTTACTTTATTATCATTATCTACATTCATCTATATTGTTGCATTGTTTTACAATATTTAATTACACATTGATAAGAAAATTTTTCATAATTTATCCGTTTGTAAAATATCTTATTTTGACAACTTTTATGAAAAACCTTACCCTATTAGTCCCTAGACCCTTTCGTTCGCAAAGTACATGAAAGGTTATCTTGATGAGAAATCTAACTTTTTATCGGTTAGATTATAAAGAAAAAAACTATTTTACTTTTCTAAAGAATTTCCAATATATTACAAACCATAAGGACCATTTATGTGATTTTTCAAATTTGAAGTTATATATATATATATATATATATATATATATATATATATATATATATATATATATATATATATATATATATATATATATATATATATATATATATATATATATATAGGGGAGGGTTCATGCGAAAATGCAAATAATTTGCAAAAACGCGAAAACAAGAAAACCATATGATATTATGTCACCTCAACATTATATTTTGGAAAATAATTCATCCAAACTTTGAAATACATGATGATAATCGATGATAGATGATAGACTATTTCATATTAGCAAAGTATGATTTTTAACATTTTTATTATGAAAACATGAATTTAAAAATGATTAAGGACGTAAAAAAAATATAATTATAAAAACTATCTTTAAATCTATATTATCATAACACCATCTAATGTAAACTTACTATCTTTAATTTATTGCTAATAAAATTATTTTTTTATAGTACATGTATCTAATTTTCATAAGATAAAAGTTGTTTTCGCGTTTTCGCAGGATATTTATATTTTCGCATGAACTTACTTCTATATATATATATATATATATATATATATATATATATATATATATATATATATATATATATATATATATATATATATATATATATATAAGGATTAAATAAGAATACCTAAAATATTGAGAACGTGAGAACAATTCTGGACCAATTAGTATATAAGAGCATATTAGCAATTGTTTATTTTAATTAAATTATATAAAATTAGAAACCACTTTCCTTAAATTTAGGGATTACAGCAGTTTCCAAAAATATATATATTTATTAATAAAATATTTTAAAAAAATTATCATTTTTTTTAATTTAAAAAATCATTTTTTTTCTTATACCATATGATTCATAGGAATTCATTCATTAATGAATGAAAAATATTTTTTATTACTTCTAGGTTTTTGTTTTTTAACTACACTTTATTTAGATTAAAAAAAATATTTTTATGTTAAATTCATTAATGATAGAATGTACATAAAAATAAACATTTAAATAATTTTTTAGAATTTTATTTGATTGAGTTATGTTAATCATTAATAATTATAACATCAAATACTTTAATTAATAACACACAATAGGATAGATAAAAAAAACCTCAAAACAATTATAATCACAAATGAAGAAAGCATAACACAAAGGTAAAAAGGTTGAATATACATTTAATCGTAAATGAATAAAGGACAATGTCAAGTTAAAAAATCAGTTGAAATCGCTAAAGAATGAAACAGATAAAAAAAACATATCTAATACATTTATAATCATAAAAAATGATATTACGCTCATGGTTGTTAATCTTGATGTGACCATCACACCCAAAAACAAAGGCACCTGTGATCACTGTTATTCTTAAATTCACACCTGTAAAAAAAACAAAAGGCAAATAATTAGAAATATTTGAGTAATTTTCAAGTATGATTATAGCTATATTCGTTTATTATTATTCCATAAAACAATTCAGAAACTATAATAATGTATATATTCATCTTCATTTATTCACAAACGCTTGTATATATGGTTATAGTTATATTCATGTACGATTCTAGCTATATTCATGTATGATTATTCCAAAAAAAGGACGAAAAAAAACAAAGGGCAAACAATTAGAAATATTTGAGTAATTTTGTTTGCATCAATTAAGAGAAATTTGAATGTTCTATTGGTTTTGCTTGCCATAGAGGGTGTAGCAAAAGGTTAGCTTTGATTTTCTTTCATTGAATATTGTCAGAAAAAGAAAATCAAAGAAAATATTGAGAAAGAACAGAGCATGCATTCAAGTTCCAGTTTTCTGAATTTGGGTATTTCATCGAACACCTTATGTGCACAACTTCTCCTTATATGTTTTTCAAAATTAATTACTCCATACAACAAACTAAACAAAAGGTCTCACGAATTATTTTGAAGCTTTGGAGCATACAACAAAATAAACAACATAAGAGGTTCAAATCAGCATAACATATGGCGTTCGAATTGATTTTTCAAGAAAAAAAAATGCACAAACAGATTCCATGTACAGATTCGAACAGTATATAGCATTGTAAGGCTCGAGTCAACAGAATAGGTGGATTTTGAACAACATTTGCAAGGAAAAAAGCTTAATGTTACCTGATTTGGAGTACGTCGTCGCTACCATGCTACTCCAGAGTTGAGGATTGAAGTCTGGTAGTGTGTCGTCGCTTGCTACCGCCGGTGAGTAGCAGTCGAGTTCACGAGATTGCCAATAAGGTTAAGAAAAAGTGTTGTCGGCTGTAAGTCTCACTCTGTATGCAATGACGATGATGAAGAACGAAAGTCGTTGTTAGGGACTGCCACTGTCCGTTGCCTTGCGCTAGTGAGTAGATGCTGGCGTTCGCCAGTGAGTAGAAGTCGTCAAGCCGATGAGATCATCGACGATGGAAGTGATTATATGTATAAAGGGGAAATGAGGAGTGAATGTCGGTTGTGCTTGGAATTGGATACGATGATACACTGATAGATATAAGCATACATTCTTAGGGTTACCTTAAAGTCGATGCGTCTTATGAAACCCTAGAGAGAGAGAGAGAGAGAGAGTAAGAAAGTTATGAGGGGAGATGGTGAGAAATAATAGGAAATA